TCTCTCATAAGACCCCTTTGTTACCAGCAAAGAGGAAGGGTATGATCACAGAACGAAGGAAAGTCTTTCCAGAGAAAGAATCATTGGCACATTAGATAGGGGTCTTAGTCCTACATTATAGAGTCTCTTTCTAGCAAGTTTAAGCACAAAACCATATATTATAGAGTCTAGATAGTCACTAGAAGAGCTGAAGGAACAGACTGTAAGCAGAATTTGCAGTGTCGACTCCCCACACCACACCACAGAACCAGGCCATGGAGAAAGCTACCAGATCAGGGAGCAGCTGCCACAGCTCTTGGGTCATAGACACCTCAGCTCCTCAGAATAAGCCCCAGTCTCATGTCCCGCTCAACTCTCAACATCATTCACTGCCAAATCAAAGTCCTGTATGAGTTCAGCTGATTGGCAAAACCTAAACATACCTGAATCTCCATCTGCCAAGGTGTCTGGGAAATGTAAGTTCAGTTTTAAGCCTCTGCAGCACAGGATAGTATGTGGGGCTATACAAGGGACTGGATAAATTCGTTCACCACTGTCAGTGAGCTCTTGCTGCATACTCACAAAGCATGGCAAGGCCTGATCCTAGACCACAGACTTGAATTTGGGCATGGAAGCCATCCTGAGGGATGTGTGTGGTCATGCTTTATTGAGAAGGTTCTAAGGCCAACAGACTCACACAGGAATCTGCTCAGAGGGTGACTCTTCTTGCGAAGAGAGTTTACTGCCAGGAACCACAGCACTAATCACACCATAGTGGACATCTGTTGTATTCGTGGCTGTCCATTGACTTTTGACCAGCTTTTTCCCATATTTGGGAATATTTGCTTGCAATGAATCCTATCTCTCCAATACTAAAGTCAGAATCCAAATTTCCAGACTCCTTTGCAGCTAGTATTTGAGAAGTGATCTGAATTCTGACAGTCTTACGTCCCCACTTGAGATATGATTCAAATTGGTAGCATGAAGAAGCACATAGCACATGGAGCTTCCATGTGTGCTGACATGAACAACCCAGAACCTCAGCCTCTGAAGGGCTGGTTCCCAGTTCAGAAGAGGCACTGGTGCTGGCAGAAGTGGCTGTGAACTCATGCTGGGTTCCTGCTACCCAGTGCTCAGTAGTAGCAGCCACAGCAATACTGGTTTCCCCCTTGGGCTGGTTCTATAGCACAGTTTAGGGTATTGTTCCCGGACACTTTACCTCAACCCTATTTCTCAGCCCTCCAAATGATTATTTATCCTTCAAGATAAAATCCCCTGTCTACAGTCCTCAGCCAGAGTGGATCCTGTTGTCAGCAACTGAGAACCTACCTGACGTGCTGGGTCGGGAACACCTGACTCTGAATCCATGGCCTCTCCACTATACCGCAGAGTGAGCCTGCAGCAGAGTCTACCTAGGCTTCATCCTCCATTTCCTTCTTGAGTCAGGTACACACAGGGAGGGGGAAAACCTGCCCTTTCTCTAAGATTTCTCCCATCCCAGGAGCTCCTACAGAACAAGAGTGCTCTTCTTCATTGAATTTTTATAAGCAACATTTTGGGCAGGACAGGTATTCAGTAAACGTTTGATGAATGAATGAGTGAATGGTTAAATTATGATATAGTTATGCCCAGGTGAATCCATAACCCAGACCTGTGCTACTCATTACAGTATCCACAAGGCACACATAGCTCCTGAAGTGTGCTTAGTGCAACTAAGGAACTGAATTTTTATTTTTTTTAAGATTTTATTTATTTATTTATTTATTTATTTATTTATTTAGAGGGAAGGAGAGAGAGAGAGAGAGAGCTTGAGTAGAGGGAGGGGAAGAGGGAAAGGAAGAGAAAAGCATGCAGGGCTCAATCCCAGAACCCTGAGATCATGACCTGAGCCCAAATCAAAAGCCAGATATTTAAATGACTGAGCCACCCAGATGCCCTTGAATTCTCATTTTATTTCAATTGATTTAAGTTTTAACATTTATGCCTAATTTCATTTTCAAAAATTTTTAGCTTGTTTAACTTGTCACACAAGTATACTTTTTAAGCCATAAATTTTATGAAAGCTAAATATTGACCAAATATTTCCAACAAAAATTTAACACATGTTCAAAATCAAGGTATGCTATAATTGTAAACTATGTACCAGAGTCCAAATACTTTATGAAAAAAGAATATAAAATATGCCATTAATATTCTTAATATTGATTACATGTGGAAATTATAATACTCTGGACATATTAGTTTAAACAAAATATATTGACTGACTTTACCTGTTACTTTTTACATTTGTGTGTGTGTGTGATTATTAGAAAACACAGAATCAAATATATGGCTTTCACTACATTTCTGTTGGACACCATGAATCCATACATTAGTGATAGCATCACTCAGCAGGCAGTTGGGGTGCTGAAGACACAGGTTACCTCTGAACCCTAGAGCTCCTAACCCTACAGACCTAGGCCAACCTCCTGCTTATTCCCCTGCCAGCTCTAAATGCAACAGAAGGAAGTTTAGGCAGGGGCCTACAACATGTGTAAGAGCAGAAGTCACGAGTTTGGTGTTTTAGGAGGCAGGCAGGTGGCCTACCAGAAAAAGGGCCAGAGGTAAGGCCACAAGCACTGACCAATGGCTCTATTCAAAGGCAATACATGAAGAAAAATTTCTGAAGTGGATGTCCCCGGGGTCACCAGTGTGACATCTCTGCTCAAGCCCATGGAATCAAAAGGTCCTCAGAGAGCCTCAAACATGGCTGCTTCATTCAAGGGTGAGGAGTCTGGAGCCACAGAGGTTAGAGCTATACCAATTAGCGCTAGAGCCCAGGCTGAGCACTAAGTCTCCTAATGCCCCCTGGAACATACCAGCTCTTGGCTTTGGGAGCTGCAGATACATGCCAAGCAAGTCTAATTGAAGAAAGGAAGGATCCTTCCTCCAGGAACGGGGCAGCCTGACACTTACCCCAAGACCTCCAAGCATCTCTTTCTAGCCCATTCTGAGGAATTAGAGCAGGGGCCAGAAGGCATTCTGTCCCAGCAAGGAAAACCCTGTGATTTCTATGCACAATTCCAGAAGACCTGAAACTCTTAAAGGGACTTGTTCCAGGAGAGAGGAGCACAAAATAAAGATGCCTTGAGCTGGTGTGAAGAGCAAGGAAGAAACCGGGACCCCAGGAGAGAAAAATGCTCTTAGCAGCCCAATCCTGAACCAAGGAAGTGCGGAAGGCCAAGAGACCAACCAGGAGGGTGGTACACAATGAAAGAGGGAGGAGGGGGATGGGCCTCACCCTGAGGGCTCACTTCTAACAGAAAGGGAAGTGAGCCTTCCTAATTTCCCAGACAATTTTCATCCTGGAAGCACAATCTACAAAATGCTTCCCTCCAACCTGCTCCCATAATTTGACCAAACAAAACCATTCATACCCACATCCAAATTTATCAATCTGAGCAAAATACGGTTAGTAACAAAGAAAGGTAATTTTCATATTTTATTATACAATATTGTTTATCACGGAAAAAAAGCTTTAGTATCTTTTAATACAAAAGCAAATTGTTAGTGTTGCCAGAGAGATTGCTTGCCTGCCCTTAAAAAAAAAAAAAAATCAACACCTGTTTGCAAACAAAAGCACTGCTAGAACTGAGTCAAATCCTTTATTCTCTTTCCAGGCTCCACCCAGCCCACTGATCTCTTTTCTGTACAGAGTCTAACACATAGTAGGCGCTGAATAAATATTTGTTGACTGAATAGCATGTTCTTTCATCCCCATCGTTTATTTCCTGACCCTTGACTGGATCTTGATTCATGGGGTAAAATCCCACCTACCCCTTCCCCTTCCTAGGGTAGCCCAGTGTCCTTTCACTGCCTTTGATACAGAACATTGGTTTAGAGACATTGCCTGAGGGGACCGACGGAGGGTTTCAAAGAGTGAAGGAAACCCTTGAAGGCAGGCATGGTGACTCTGTAGAGAGAGAGAAAGGTGCTAAGTCAGAGCAACAGACAGACAGATTCAGGGATGCAGAGGCTGCAGGAAATGGTGGCAGCAAAACAAAGTCAGAAACCAAAAACTCACACAGTTCCAGATAAAGAGGTAAAAAGGTTGGCCACGAATGTTAATCTTGAAATTTCTTTTCCGTTTTGATGTTTTATTACAGAGATAATGGCAGAGAGAGAGGGAGCCAAGACAAGGATGGGAAGACAGAGAGACAAAGAAGACAAGGGAGACAGGTGAACAGCCAGGCAGGCTGACCTTGAACTCCTGCCCTCCCTCACACCCACCAGGCTGGGCTCCTTAAGGCCTCAGTACCCATGCTCACTCTCGGCAACCACTGGAAGTCCAGACACCATCCCCTTCTCCTCGACCCCCTCCCCCACAAAGATGGTTGAGCCACTCTGTCCAACATCCTCCATGAAGCCTTCCCACTGCTCCAGCCCACACTGGCTGCCTCCCTCGCGGCTCCTAAAACACACCTGTTCATCCCAAGCCCACATGGCCTAACCACAGGGCACTGCTGTTCTGGAGTTGGCCCTCGGCCCACGAGGGCATCTTGACTCTCACACTCACACTGAGAACTGTGAGTTTGTCAAGCTCCACGCCCCATCCCCGCCAGGATTCGCGGGGATACCCAGTCCGATGCTGGGTATCACAAAGCGCTCTGTGAATCCCTGTGCACCGGCCAATCCCCAAGGAGTGCCAACAGGGCACAGTCCGCTGGTCTGGCTGGTCTGGAAAGAGCTTCTTGGAGCCTGGCCCGCGGGCCATCTCCTGGGCTCCTGCGCCCCCTGCCGCCCAGGATGGCACCTGTTGGCAGGACCAAGCGGACGGCCAGCGCGGTCCCCACGCACCCGCACCCGGGGAGGCTGGCAACGGCCTCTGGCCTCACGGTGGCCCCAGGCACCGCCGAGGGTTCTGATGAGATGGGGGGCGCGGCCAGGGGCGCCTGCTGCGTTTGCCTTGTGCCCGCGCCATGCCCTGAGCGCTGCGGACAGCATCCCCACCCCAGCCCCCCCACCCCCCCCCCGGGGGGCGCTCAGAGCTTCTCGTCCAGCTCCAGGCCCGGATTCTCGTGCGCGCCCCCGCGGAGCGGCGCTGGGCTGCCGCTCAGGCTCAGGTAGTTCTGGATGGCCGAGGCGCAGTCCAGCCGCTCCATGACCGTCATGAGGTAGTGCAGCTCCTGCAAGCTGCCGTTCTGCTCCTCAAACAGCTCCAGGATGGCTGCGGCGGGGCTGCGTTGGCAGGACAGGAACCTGGCCGGGATGCGGGGTGGTGGGTGCTCTGGGGCCAGAGCCACCCCCTCCCCCGGCTCCGGCCCGCCTCGGGCTCCCACCTGCTCTCCAGGGGGCTGGAGTAGTGGGGAGGGCCCGGAACCTTGAGACCTGAGGTTGCCCTGGCTCAGCGGCTACTTCTCTCTAGACCCGGGGTTCCTCCTTTTCACCCAGGGCTCGGACTAGAGGGCCTCTAAGGGTGCTTCCAGCTCTGACCGTCTGGAATTGCTTTCTCCGGGTCCCCCACCCCAAACACACTGTCCCCTCCTCCTCCCTCTCCCCCAGGCCACCACATCCTGCCCACTGGTGAGGAAACAGGTGTTCTAAACCATGGCTTCTCCAGGACCCTCCTCTGCTCAAAAACCTTCCAGAGTCCCTTTCCAGTACTAACCAAGCCTGTACTCCGGGTGCTAGGCTCATGCACAACTGGATGGTGCTGGGTTTTTTGTTTTTGTTTTTGTTTTTGTTTTTCCGCTCTTTGCTCCTAGCTCTCATCCTGAACCTTCCAGCTGTGGGCCTTTTCCTTTCCCACCTTGCGCACACCACACCCACAACTAGCTGTGCTACTCCCTCCCAACAGAGAGGCTTCTCCCTACTTCCCTACCACCTCCTCCCTAACGCCCTTTCTAATTCCCACCTGTAAGTGGAAGAGACCATTCTGCAACCCCCAGTTCAGACTTCTGCTCATAGCTACCCCACCTTCTTTATTATTCTTGCTTTAGCTGTTTTGTGTCTCTGTTTTCAACTTGCTATACAACATTGCTATACATGCCTTATTGTATATATACATGTATAATATGCCTTATTATACAATAAGGCATAAAGGGCTCTGCCTTTATCTTAAGCTCTCTGTATCCCTTACTATAGTATGAGTTCCCGGATGCTGGAGCCAGGTCTCATTCATCTTGTATTCCAATGTTTAGCATAGCTTTCCAGATTATAGTGAGTACTTGATAAATGTTTAATACGTAGATGATTTTTAAATCTGCTCTGCTTTCAGCTGGGTCCAGTTCTAGCCCCATTGCCTGGGTGAAGTCCTTCCTGACTACTGCACTCACAGTCTATGTTCTGGAGCTTAGCTCAGAATTGTTCTCCTACTGATTGCTGTTGACAGAGACCATGGTTGCATTTTCCGCAGTATTATTATTACCATTTATTGAATGAACATATGCCAGGCACTCAACTACATGCTTTATCCACATTATCTTATAGTCTGCCTTCTACCCCTCAGGGCACAGCGTGTTAAGCACTCAATATGTACCCACTGACTTACATTTTAATTGATTCATTTTTAAATATTTATTGAGTACCTACTCATGAGCCAGGCATCATTGTAGGTAGTGAGAATATAGTAATAAATAAAAGGAGCTGCTCTATTATGGGGAACAGGGTGGGGCATAGCCATTCCCTAACTTTTAAGTTGACTCCTTGTCTGTGCTATAGTCCTCAAGGTGTCCCAGGAACCCCCACCCCCACCCCAGTCCCCCCCTGTCCCATCCACAGACTTTGCCCTTCTTACCGGATTTTCATGCCGCAGAGCCCCAGGTGGGAGGCCAGCCGACGCCAGTCATTGCCTGTGATGCTGTTTGGTTCCAACAACATCTGCAGCTGTTCAAAGAGCTCTGGAGGCAGCCTGGGGCCAGGGAGGTGGAGTTCTCAGAAGGGAGGATCAGAGAAACCCAGTCTGTTCAACAGGCACCATGAATGGTGTATGCGCCCTGCAGGGCACAGGGGAGGAATCACAAACATCCCTCAGCCAGCAACCCAAGCAACCCCACCTCACCTGTTGCATGGGGGTGGTTGAGAGACAGGGGGAGGCACTGCCCAGGATTCTTCCTCTGATGCCTGGAATCTGAGGATTTCCATGTACTTGGTCTCCAAGCCCTGAGCCAGGAGAGGGTCAGAAATACACTTAGGGATCATGAGACATCCCCTGAGAAGAACCATTCCTCATATCCTTCAGCCTGTCACCCAGAGCTACTCTACCAGGAGATACGGCCCTACCCCACCCAGGATCCCCTCCGCTCTGCTTCCCTGACCCTAGAACTTCCAGCTTTATGTCTGCCTACTGAGTTCTGTGGGAGTTGAGACATGAAGACTAAACAGGTGCACCCTAAGACACCAAAAGTCTGAGTGAGGTCATGGGGCAGGGAAAAGTCAGCCAAACATAGGGAATTGAACTCAGGCACATGTGTCTCCTTCCCTCCATCCTATGGTCCCTCCTTGCAGGTGACAACCTGAGAGGTACTGGCTTATTCTCCACTAAGACGCCTCCACGGTTCCCCAAATACCCTCAACCCCTCAACTCTTTCCCCTTGGGAGGGTGGGTTTCACCCTCCACACTGAGACACAACATCATCTCTTAGAGACAGACAGTCAGCCTAGGAAGAACCCGCTTTTCTTTGATGTCCGGGTTCCTCTAAGCTAAGAATCTGGGGTTTGACTCTTTTACCCTCCTACTGGATTCATTTATGGACAGACAAGAGAGAGTCAGGGATGAAGGGTAAGTTGGAGGCCAGGTGGTCTCAGGCCCTGGAAGAATGCCATCCACCTGCTTGATTATGTGATCAGGGCCATGCTTACCGGGCACCAGACCCCTCACCCCCTTTGCCCAGGGCTCTCCCAGGCCCTGCCCTTCCTTTGCCCCTCAGCTCCAACTCACATCCTGGAAGGTGTGCATGGTGACAATGATCTCACTGGCAAGTGCTGAGCAGTTAACGCTTTCACTGGCTACAAAGAGGAAAGGACATGGCAGATAAGAGAGGGAGAAGTCAGGGGAACCCCATAGGCAGGCTTTCGAAATCTGAAGACGTTGGGCAGGACACTCCCTCTTTCTCTCTACAAACATCAGTTGTGGCTGATCTTTTAGAGAAGGTGTGCATGCATGCCTGACTGGATAAGGAGCTGCAGAGGGGAGGGGAAGGGAGAGCAGGAGAGAAGAGGAGTAGGGGTTGCGGGGAGGGGAGGGGACAGGGCAGGAGGTGGGCTGGGTCTCCTGGACTACCTGTTTTTCTCCTGAAGCAGAAGGAACGGAAGGGGCACTTTCCGTGCCAGATGTGGAGATGGGGAACCAGCTGGCAGCTGCTCTCGTCCACGTTCTCCCAACCTGGGGAGGAGGCAGAGCGGAGGGCCTCAGAAGCAGGGTCTTCCACAAGTGTTTGAGGAGGGCTTCTCTGAGGCAGGTGTCACGCAGGGTGCCGTGGGGAGGGATGAGGCGGGAGTGAAAGCGGGAGGGTGTCTCAAGTGGATGAGAGTCCTCAGGGCCTGGATAGAGACCCTGTGAACAGCCTTCTCCTACCATCACACACCTCCTCCACACACACAGCACACAGACCTCCCGCCTCCCTTCCACTCCCTCCAGGAGCAGCCATGCAGCTGTGCCCCGTCCACGAACCACACGGACGTCCTAGGTTCCCTAAGCAAGTGCAGCAGCCCATGCCACAGAGGAAGGAGGGCAGAGAAGACTGGGACTCCTCCTGGGACACCAGTCCCAGCCAGGTGGGACAATAAAATCCTCCCCTCCCCTCACCCTCACCCCACCATACATCCACCTGTCCCCCCACAGAGGGGCCCAGGGCTAAATGGGCCACAGAGGACAGGAATGAGCAGAGCCTGGGGCTCCTGCAGGCAGCAGCAGAAGCTAGAGTTCCCCTTGAAGCTGTTGCCTGCCCAGGAGCCTCCAGAAAAAACCTGAGGTTCCCAGATTTCTCAGCAGGGGGTGGCCCAGGACCCTCCCTCTCCTAGGGCTCCTTGCTGCTCTGCCCCCCCACCCCGGCCCAAATCCCTCACCCTCAGAGATGTACGTGAGCTTCAGGCACTGGTCCCCTCGGGCCCCTGTGAAGTCAAAGAGTTGGCAGGGCCCGCGCAGACGCCCACCGTGGGGCTGCTCATTGGCCATGGCCCACTGCAGGGCGCACGGTGTGTTGTTGAGAAAGTAGATGCGCAGCTGCAAGTGGGACTGCCCCGGCGCCAGCGGCGAGCAGAACACTGCCAGCTGCAGCCACTTGCGGGCCTCCCTGCCCCCGGGTGCCTCCAGGACACAGGTATAGAGGCTGCAGAGAGAGAGACGGTGACAGGAACTGACACAGGGGACCCTGGGACCCCAGTGTATCTGCCACTTGGCTCCTACTGCTCTAGGAGCCGGGGAGAGTAGAGTGGTCCGGGGCATGTACAGTCCGGCAGGGAGTCACACAAGTAGGGGGACGAAGAGTGAGTCACATCACAGTGACCATCACAAAAGGGGAAGAAGAGCCAGCACGCACCCTCCAGCATGGGAGACAGGGAAGGTGGACTCAGGGCCACTACGCTTCAGAGGGGTCCCAAATATGGCTGGCCCTGCTCTGCTCAGTGGGAAGGAGAGGCAGAAGGGCCTCAGATCCTAGAAAGACAGAGCTAAGGACAGGCATGAGATGGGAGGGGGCTCTTGGAGAACTGGAGGGGATAGGCTGCCCTAGACAGTCCAGGGACAGTCAGGGACAATAGAGACTGACAATTTTTTAAAAAAGATTTTATTTATTTATTTGAGGGAGAGGGAGACCACAAGCAGAGGGGAGGAACAGAGGGAGTGGTAGAAGCAGGCTCCCACTAAGCCTAATGTGGGGCTCAATCCTAGGACCGGGGACCATGACCTGAGCCGAAGGCAGACACTTAATTGACTGAGCCACCCAGGCACCTGAGACAGATAATTTTAGAAAGACAAAGGTGGGGATAGGACAGATTCTTCCAGAAAGAGGGCTGGGGTGGTAGTCATAGACTGGTAGAGAGACTACAGCAGGGTGCATAGTCCTGGACAGGGTTGGAGTGAGACAAGCTGCTCTACACACTAGGCCAGTGGGACCAGGAAGGGGACTTGGAGAGAGAAGGGATTTGCAAGCCATCTGGAACAGATCAAGGGGCAGTTCCATACAGAAAGGCGAAGATGAGGCAGACTGAGAAAATGGGCAGCAAGCCCGGGTCCATGGGCCTACCTGAAGTGGGAGAGGTGGATGCGACACTCATCCCGGGAGGTGTGCGCCCCAGGCCGCCCCAGGGGCCTCCAGACCTTGGCATCGAGCAGTGTGGTGTTGCTGCTGTAGGTCCGGGCATGGCTGGGCTCCTGGGCACAGTGCTTGAATGTGAGGGTGCAGGGCTTCAGGAAGGAGGCCCCATGGGGCCCACAGGCCACCACAGGGCTCACCAGCCCCTGCGCTCGGGACAGTGATGGGGCGTCCAACAGGTCCCACACCAGGATCAGTGATACCCGCTCCTGGCGGCCCACAGCCACAGCACCTGGGGAGAACAAGAGCGGTGATGGGCCTGGCAGGCAGGTGCACCCCTACCCCAGAAGGGACCGGATGACATGGGAGTGGAGGTGGGACAGGAGCCCAGGAGAGAGGGTGCCTAACACGGCACACAGGGAGGTGGTGTGGAAGGAGAGAAAGACTGTAAGCTGGCTTGTGGTGTAATCCTGAGCAAGTCACCCTACTTTTTTTCCGGGGCTGTTCCCATCCCATATGGGATTAGTGGGAATCTATGAGAGGTGCTCTTGCTCCAGACACTTTCCTGTATTGAGAATTGTCATAACACACTGTTTATTACTACCAGGCACTTTACTTCCACCTGTCAGGGAGTTGTCATAAAAATATGTAATCCATCCATCTTTAAGGTCAATAAAGTCATACTAAAAATATAAACAATTTTCAAAATTATGGAGATGTCTATGAACGATGCTCCCTGAGGTGCGATGCCCTTGTCCAACACACAGTGAACAACTAAACGCTGAGGAGGGAGAAGGTGCCGTTACCTGGTGGGATGAGCAGAGAGATGCCCATATCCTGGAGCATCAGGCAGCCGCCGCGGTGATCCACCTCTCGAGCCGAGAACACCAACAGCTTGTGCATCAGCTGACGGATGACGGTCTGGCCTTGAGTGGGTGTGTGTAGCTCCTGGTAGAAGGCGGCCATCTCCGGCAGTGTGGCCGGCGGGCACCCTCGTGAGGGCTCGTCTTCTGGCAGGGGAGTGGGGTGGGCCACTGGCTCCTCCTGGCTATCCGGCTTCCAGCAGGCCCCCAGCAGCCGGCGAGGACAGTGCCATCGAAGACACTGGAGCAGAAGGAGGGCGCTCGCCACCGGGACCCCCACCACCAGGAGGAACTGGGCGGGTTGGATGGAACTCTCATGGGAGCACATCCGCCTGGTCACTCGTGCTGCCAACTCCCCTGCACCCCTGTGCCAGCCAAAGCCAAGGATCTCGAGGAGGGAAGAGACAATGCCAGGTAAGCCTTTGCAGTGTCACAGAAGCCAGGACTTGGCTTCCAACTGGCTGCAATGAGGGAGCCAATTGTCCTCATTCCAGTGCATCCTCAATTAATACCTTTAATGAAACTTCACCTACCTTTGTCTTCCTCAAGAACCTACCATGGCTCCCCATGGCTTAGCACCTCACATTAAACTCCCTGTGGGCAGAAAGAGCTTGGTTTTGAGGTTAGAGGATGCAAATTCAAGTGCTGCCTTGGTCACTGGCTGAGTGAGTTTGTCATATTGTGTACTGTGCCTCAGTCTCTGCATCTGTCAGAATACCCGTCTTGATCTTCATAGAGAAATCTTTAAGTGGAAAAGTGAGTTACAGAGAACTAGACATCCTCTGATCTCATTAACGGAAATTACAGAACTTATACAAGTATAGATACATATTTATGTGTGTATATATGTCAATCACAGAGAAAGGTCTGGAACAACACTATGCAGTAAATGGAGCAACGCTATGCACTATAATGGAAGCTCGGGGCACCAGGGTGGCTCGGTCAGTTAAACATCAGCTAGTGATGTCATGATCACTTGACATGATCGGCTTAGGTCATGATCTCCTGAGTCTTGAGATCCAGCCCCAGGTTGAGCTCTACGCTCAGTGGAATATCTGCTTGGGATTCTCTGCCTTCCCCTCTGCTCCTTCCCCTGCTCTCTCTCTTTCTCTAAAATAAGTAATAAAATCTTTAAACATATATAATTAATTATTTAATAAAGTATTAATTATAATGTAATATGATTTATATATAAATATATAATATATAACAGATATTTCTGTATTACTATAAATAATTATTTAATTAATAATTTTAATAATATGTTTTATGATTTAATAATATATTTTATGAGGGCACCTGGGTGGCTCAGTGGCTGAGCGTCTGCCTTTGGCTCAGGTCATGATCCCGGGGTCCTGGGATTGGGCTCCCTGTGGAAAGCCTGCTTCTCCCTCTGCCTATGTCTCTGCCTCTCTCTGTGCCTCTCATGAATATATAAATAAAATCTTTAAATATATATATTATGTATATAACCCAGTATATTCAAAATATCGCTTTGAGAGGAAATCAATATAAAATTGCTGAGACATTTCACATTCCATTTTCATACTAAGTCTTTGAAATCCATGCATGTTTTACACTCACAGCACGTGGCAGTTGGGACCTGCTCTACTTCAAGTGCTCAGCAGCCACACATGCTAGTCTAGTCATTCCTGTCTGGGGCAAGGCAGGTCTGAGAGGCCACGCCCCAAACTATTCCCACCAGTCACTACTGAAACAGCAGAAAACTGAGAGGTATGAACCAGGACTTTTAATTTTCTTAAACTCTTGTTTCTGTCTTTGAATGTTTTCACCCCAGGCATGTATTTTATATTAACTTTGTCATTCTTTTGAAAAGCTATCAAAGTTTAAAAATAATTACTGCTCGGAGTGATTGTGAGGACGGCATGCCATCATGGGAAAAGCACTTGTAGATGATAGAGCACTGCCCAGATATGTTTCTTTATTTATGCCCCATCTACTGCCAGAAAGGTCAGAAGGCAGCACACAGGGACATGTGAAATAGAACAGGAGTAACAAAGTTACAGAAGGAGGCAAAAAGAGAAAGAAAACGAAAGGTGAGAGCCTCCAGGGAGGCTGGAAGGAGGCAGGGCAAAGCAGGCACTGGCTGCTTGCTCACCTGGTTACCAGCGGGGCCCTCCAATTGGGACCTGGCCCTTCCAGCAGCTTCCAGACAGTTGCCAGACCTTTCTCAGGCCCTCCAGAGTCTCCCGCCCTCATTCTACATTAATTTCCAACGCCCTACACCCCTGCCAGGCTGGGATCCTCACACCCAGCTAATTCCAGCCTCTGGCCTTTGCTCCCGCTCTTCTCCCCACCTGCCTCACCTGCCCACCTGGCCCCCCTCCTGCTCAACAGCGCCTCCCAGTGGCTCACCAACACTTGACACTCTCACCGGCTGCCACTCCACCCTACCGACTCTTGACTCTGTGCTGTCACACGTGATTTTCCCACTCAGATGAACATTTTCCGAGCACCAGCTGTGTACCTCGCAAGTTCAGTCTTGACAAGGATGATGTCTTAGGCAGCTGTCAGGAAGCTTCGGAGGGAATATGATGCATTCCCTCTGTAGCCAAGTTCTGTGTAGTAACATCCTCTTTCAAAACCCTCAGGGTCCCCATAGCTAATCCACTAGGCTCTGTGCTAGAGAAGCTTCTGGCATTCATTCCTCCCTACTCCCTTTGCTCACATCCTGACCAGGAGCTGAGGCCTCGCCTCAGTCCTCCAGCTCGATCCATGCTTCCTCAAGGAAACCCAAGCCCCTTTCCTTAGGTTCTCCTAGACAGGGGCAGAAACTCCTCTGTATCCTCAGGATTAAGGACTGGGGTGGGATCTCTTCCCTCACTGCCCCACCCCCGTGTCCCCATTGAAAACGTAGACAGGAAGGAAGGTTTGGCATTGATCCTTTTGCCTTAAAACGCATCTTTGCAAAATGCAGCTGCCTGCTTCAGCCAAGCCCTTTGCAGGGCACACGAGTGAAGTGGGTGAGTTGCTGCTGCCCTACATCTGGTGGGAGAGGGGACTGGAGCAGCCAGCGTCCTTCATGGGGCTGGCATTCCTTTTGGTTCGTTCACATGAAAAGATAATTGGAATTATAACTGCAATGATATTGACTATCATTTATGGAGCTCTGCCCTATGCCACTGTGTTGGAGCATTCTGTGGGCCCCTCTCATTTGATCCTCCGAGTAGCCTTGTGAGCTAGGTGTTATTTTTAATCTCAATTTCCCAGATAAGGAAGCCAAGTTTTTTCCCCACCGTGGGGTCATATGGGAGGTTATTATGCTACATCTGAAGGCTGAGGGAAGGATGAACTGGAATGACAACCATGTTCTAGAAACACTACCTTTCCCTTCCTCCCTCCCTCCCTCCGTGCCCCGCCCAGGGCTCTCTTCCTTTCCACTTCTAGAGGAAGTGAAGTAGGGAGAAAAAGAAACAAAAATAAAAATAAATGGAAAGACTCAAAAGGCACATCCTGGGTTCCACAGTATGTGACTTCCCCCACCCCCCGCCCACAAAGGCACCCATGGCAGGGGACGTGCTAGCTAGTATGAACGACAGGAGGGACTCTGCTCTATTTCTATAGCAACAACCTTTCTGGGGCCTCCAAAGACCAGAGTCCAAATCCCCTCCACCCCACTGGGTGGCACAGCAGAATCTCCCTGCCCAGCCTCCCAACCTGAACAGCTGGCATATTATTCCCCAAGGCCCCGAGGGGCCTCGCATGGGCAACCCATTCATTAACTCTCCCCTAGCTTGGTCCCCTTCCTCCCAGGCTGATACCTCTGCAAGCTGCTCGGCCCTCACTCCATCCTCCCCCTAACCCCAGGAGGAGGAAAGATGCCGAATCTACAGCAGGGCAACCAGCTAGACCTTCCCAAACCCATGCCTTCCTCTTTACTACCCATGGCTCCTGTCTGTCTTGCCCTGACCACAGATTATCTAGGTAGCCGGTCCCCAAGACAAGGGTCCTTTAGAATGCTACCATCACCTGTCCATCAGGAGTTGCCTCCTCTACCACTCTGGGTTCCTGCTGCAAAGTTCTTCTGTTCATGTCCTTTGAGGCAACTCTCAGCCCTCGTCCCACATCACTGCTTCTTACCATGCCTACTCAGGCCCTGCTAGGTCTCCTTACTGAGACACATACAAAATACCAGGATGAATGAGTCCAAACCTGGCATGGGCAGCATTCATCAGTAGAGGCTACATTTTTATAGTGCATACCACCGTCTCCCGGGTCCTCACACCCACTGGGCACTTGCCCTCTGCCATCTCCACCTCCAGCCTGGCTAAGCTGGCCTGGCTCCTCCCCTCAGCCTGAAGTGGCTCCATTGCAATGCCCACCCCACCCCCAGCTGCCCTAGGGGGTATTCACCTTACCGTGGAGGTACTCCCAGAGGTTGCTGGCTTATCCAGGAACAGCAGTTCCTTCTGAGAGACAGAGAGGTCACCCAGACCTGGTCACCAGGCCAGCAGACAAGTGAAGGTGGGCGGGGAATCTGGGCAGGAGTGGCCCAGAGCTTCCTGGCAATGACCTGCCTCCCAGCGTCCTACAGAGGGGTGAGGGAGTCTGTCCCTGTCTATTGGCAAAGTCCAGCCAAGGCGGGGGAGTAGCTGAGGATCACAGAAGTCCGTGAACTCACCAGTCTGGGTCTGGAAGGGAAGGGACAGAGAAAACCTGGGTACACGTGAACCCCTCCCCTGCAGTGAGTGCCCTCTGCTGGTGGGTGGCTGCCCCAGCCAGAGGCTAGAGAAAGAGCAAACGGTGGTAAGGAGGGAGCCCTAACAGGAGCTTCTCAAACTGCAGCGTGCACAGGAACCATAGAAGGGGTCAGGTGAAAAGGTGGGCTCTGACCCCATGGGTCTGAGCTTGGGCGTGAGATACTGAGTCTCTAAGAAGCTCCCGGCTGACACCAATGCCGCTGATCCGGGAGCTTAGACAATGTCTAGCTGCACCCCTTTTCTCTGCTGCCCTCACACAGAGATGAGAGGAGGCACTGAGAGGGTTAACAACTCACAGGGTGCTGGCACCATCAGGGTGTTCCCCTATCTGCTCCCTGCCCACACTCAGAGTTGGCAGGAACCCTGTGCTTTGGGGAGAGCAGACTTTGGGCTATTTGCCAGCCTGAGTCCTTTCATAGAAATTCTGCCTCAGAAAGATAGTGCCACTGGAATGAAAGATCCCTGCGAAGATGGATTTTCCCCCCAGCTGTTTGCTGTTGTACTCTTAGCTCCTGGTACAGCCTGGACCATAGCAAGTATTCAATAAAGACTTGTTGGATGAATGCATGGACCGGCTCCAAGAAAAGAGGCTCCTGACACTGAACCCAGGTGACTCACCTAGGGGCTGTGTACTCTCAGGTGAGTTACTCAACCCCTCTGAGCCTCCTTTCCCTTGTCTGACACATGCAGACAGTACGATCTACCACAGGAGGGAAAAGCATTGTCATTATCTGAGCTAACGACTGGAAAATGCTCGCCACAAAATGGACGCCCAGTGAGTGGTAACTGTTGTTTCCGCGGGCTGGCCTCCCACGGTGGAGGACCTTGGTGAACTCCCCAGCCCCCCAGTTATCATCTCACAGAAAATAAGTAACTGCCACCGCTCGCTTTCATCTCAGTTAATGATTGTCCAGCCTCTTGTCCCTGGCTGCAACCCCCTCCCCTCAGCTGCCTTCCCCTGGGTAGAAGCCAGAGGAGGGGATAAACACTTCCCAGGGGTGCCTGGGTCCCCAGAGTGGGGAGGTGGGACAAAGGAATGGTGGAGAGCAGCCCAGCTGGGAAGGGGACCTCATGAGGAAAGGATGGGCAAGAGAGAGGTGCTCAGAACTTTAATAGAGACAAAAAGGGCGGGTGTTAGTCTTTGCTGGACAAGACTAATGGGAGTCTGAGTCACACAAGAGGCTGCTTTCTCCTCTGAGTCATGAAGTTATAGGGGTTTGTGAACATCTGTCAAGCTCAAGTTCTAAGCCTGGAAGGGCTATGCCAACTAGGCTATAACCAGAGGCTGCATCCATGTATCACGAACTCATTTCCAAAGCTGCTGGTGCTTGCCTCACTTGGAAATAATCCCAGCTACAGGAAGGTCCTGGGGAAATCTGAGGGTCTCCACCACCCCAGGGGCACAAAACCGGTTCATTGGATGTGACCACCACAGGCTTCTATAGGCATGTAGCCTGGGGCTGAGCTGGCCCAGGGAATCCAGGTCTCAGAGGGCCAGAGCCTCAACTGTTCCATCAAGGGGCCCCCATTCAGAAGCCAGGTCTACCAAACCAGGGAGACCTCTCTCAAAAGGAACCCTTCAGAGCCATGCAGACGGGCACCTGCACTCCCTGGCTAGTGCCAGCCACCACCCTTGTCATTGGACAAAGGCAGGCCAGATAGGAGCCTCACCCCACCCTTCTCTCGTCCCCCACCCTCCTCTGCCTCACACATAACGGATATCATCGGGCACTCTGCATGGGAGGTGTGCTGCCTGAGGTAAGGGGAATGCAGGCCTGGGGAAAAGAAGGTACCAGAAGGGTAGAAAAGAGGAGAAAAGAGGACAGGGGTGGGAGGAGCCTCCAACACGAGACATAAAAACAGAAAGAGAGAGAGACAAGAAGGCAGAAGATGAACAAATAGACAGTGAGGACCAGAGAAATATAGAGATGCACGGGCAGGCAGGCTAGTCAGCCCTGTCCCCAGAACCTCCAGGATGTGGACAGGGGCCCTTGACAGGGAAGGCTGGACCAGGCAATCATTCCGGGACACTGAGAATTACCACCTCTGTCTTCCTTGCATTCCTGGCAGTCATGGAGAGGAGGCTGAAATATCATGCACAAATAGGGATGATATGGGGTAGGGGCCTTGGCTGGAGGAGGGTCTGTGCTTGTCTCACATGCCAGCAACATCCAAAGCAACACGAGTGTGGCAGCTTTCTAATCAAAGACCAGGCAGTTGCTTCCTTGAGAAGTCAGACCGCCAGAAAGCTGGGCACTTATGTTTGTGGTTCTGTCCCTTCAGAAGTAGAGATATGGAGGAGGGACCTCCTCAGCCCCTGAGGGGCAGGCAAGACCTAAGGCTTCACAGAAAGGAACCCCATGTCAACCAGCTAAGTTCGAATTCAGGCAGCAGCTCAGGCGGGGTGGGCCTCTTGGGTCTGCCAGTCTGGTGTATCGAGATAAGTCTGGGGGCAGATGGGCTGCCCCATTCTTGACTGGAAAAGACCCCCAGGGATCTCTGGCTCTTGTCTTTCTGCACACGGTCCTTCTAGGGGGGTTATATCAGCTTGGCTGAGTACAGTATAAGGCAGCGTCCCCATCAAGGGCCTGCTATGTTACTGACCAAGCGCCACTGACTACGGGAGGCAGAAAAGATTGGTCATACCTGGACCTGAACTCTAGGAGTCAGATACATGCCAGGGGAAGGGAGCCTTTCACTCAAAAGTTATCAATACTAGACAGTATCTTCTGAGGGCCAACTGGGTGGTATGGAGAAAAGAAGTCCGTGGAAGCCAGAGAAAGGACAAGGCAGAATAGGCTCCTAAGAGCAGGATGGGAGCTGACCCAAGGTGAGGAAAATGGTGTCTATTACTAGACCTCTCAAGAGGGGCTCAGGCCAGCAAATAGTGTCATGTAGGAGGTAGAGACAGTCAAGCAGACACAGGAAGAGGACTAAGAGGGAGGCCCACCACTAGCGTGTTGTTTGCCTTCCTAGATTTTGCCTCTGTGAGGGGAATGCAGCCTCAAGGCGCCATCTTTGTGGCCCTTCCCCACCTGGGGCCCATCCTGGTCTCGCTGCTCACTCGTCATCGGATGATCCGTTGGTATGACAGTCCAAAGAAGCCGCCCTGGTGCCCACCTCACAAAGTCTTGTTGGCAGGGTGGATAACCATCTACTTTGTCATGGGGTGAGCACCCACTTCTCATACCACGGCCCTGGTGCCTGCTAGGGTGGGGCCCCCATACCTGAATACTGCTGCATTCTGGCCTCCGCAGGGATGGCATGCCATCTCGCCTTCTCTGGAGGGGTCCCGTCTGTGCCTGCCTAGGATTCCAGCCAGAAGGGTAGAGGAATCCTCTCCCTTGTTCCTCTCCTTCTCCGTGATTCTCTGTTGTTTCCTTCACCTCACCATGCCCAGCTCCTCCCTGCCGGCCCTCAAGTGAGGCCTAGACACTTTTGTTCCCATTTTGGCCCACAGGGCTTCCTTTTGGTAACCAGGCATCCTTATGCCAGAGGACTTCCTTCATTTGCTGTGAAACACCCTCCCTCTTAGTGCCCTGCCACCATCTCTCCACAGCTATGCCTCCTACCTGGTATGGAAGGACCTGGGAGGGGGCTTTGGGCGGCCCCTAGCCCTGCCTCTCGGTCTCTATGCTGTGCAGCTCGCCGTCAGCTGGGCTGTCCTGATCTTCTTCTTTGCAGCCCACGCCCATGGTCTGGTAAGGCCTGCAGTGTTCAGCAGCGGGAGTAGTGTAGGAGGAGGTGAGACCCCCGGGCCCCCAGAGCAGATAGCGCAGGAGGCCACTCGAGTGTAGGCAGGTAACGGGTGGGCAGACTCCTGCGAGCTCTGGTCGGGTGCCCAGCTCTCAGGGACTTGGCTCACCAGGGCCAGAGCGCTGCAGAGAGGCCGAGGGCACAGTTCTCAGGGCAGCCTGCCTGACCATCCTGCTCGTCTGCCCCCCTCCCCACACCCAGGCCCTGCTGCACATGCTGCTGCTCTACGGGCTGGTGGTAAGCACAGCCCTGATCTGGCATCCCATCAACAAGCTGGCTGCCGTGCTCCTGTTGCCTTACCTGGCCTGGCTCACTGTGACCGCTTCTATCGCCTACCGCCTGTGGAGGGACAGCCTCTGTCCGAACCACCACCAGCCTCTGCCCATGGGGGAGAAGAGGGACTGAGGCCCCAGGGACAGGAGAGGAGGGAGGATGGCTAGGGTAGGGGTAGAAGAGACCGCCAGTGGGGGCGTGGGACTACTGGGGGGAGGGGGGAAGGGGGAGGGGGGACCAGGGATTGATGAATCCCTGAAGATGACTCGGCCCAATGTGGTCACTGTCCTAGGTCCCCTGGTGCCAATTTCCATTCGATTTCAGAAACAGGAAAGGGAAGGGGAAACTTATTTTATACTTAATATAAATTAATAAAACCCTTTACTAACTTTAAAGGTATGATGTGAAGTGCATATCTGTGTACATGATGTCTATGGCTGCAGAGTAGTGTAGACCTGTCCATGCATGTGGGAGTGCATGTCCCTGAAAACACCAACCTGTGCATCAAGGGATTGGCGGGCACAAGGTCTCTGCTCCAATCATGCACCCTCCACACCTTCCCAATAAAGCTGAGATATTCAGTTACCTGGAACACAAAGTCTTTTTGAAGAGTTCTATAAAAGCAAAACAGAGGGGCACCTGGGGGGTTCAGTGGTTGAGCAGCTGCCTTCAGCTCAGGTCGTGATCCCGGGGTTCTGGGATCGAGTCCCGCATCAGGCTCCTCTGCTTGTGTCTCTGCCTCTCTCTCTCTCTCTCTCTCTCTCTCTCTCTCATGAATAAATAAATAAAATCTTCAAAAAAAAAAGCAAAACAGAAAAGTAGATAAAATAAAAAGATATGAAATATACATGTCAGGTTTATATACTACATTTTATTATAGAATATTTTAATGTTATTTCATTGGATTTTAATTAATATATAGTAATAACAATATTATATATTATAGTTATAATAATATTACACTGTTATATACAATATATTATATATTATATATGTCATATCAAGACCTTATGTGATTATCTCTGATAAGGAGGATTATAGATCGTTTTTGTTTCATACTTTTTTACTGTTAATTTTTTTAAGTCAATTAATGACTATTATAATAAGAGAAAATATGGAGAAAAAGAGATGAATGCCTCAGTGCTGACAAGTGAGCAGGAGCTTTCAGTAGGAGATTCTTATCCAGACTTCTCTCTTCCCACATCTTCTCATTGGCTGCCTTATTTTGGACTCTTCCCTCCTATTGTTTTCTTCTCCTCTTGTTTCCAGGCCCCAGTGGTAGCAAGGGTAACAGTGATTGCCCCTGGGGCTACAACCCCAAATACCAAATAAGGTCAGCTAGAAGGCCCAGACACCTTGCATAGGAGCTTTTAAAAACATTGACCATTCTCTAGGGGTGCCTGGGTGGCTCAGTTGGCTAAGCATCTGCCTTTAGCTCAGCTCATGATCTCAGGGTCCTGCGATCCAGCCCTACATCAGGCTCCCTGATGCTGCTGGAGAGTCTGCTGCTCCCTCTGCCCCTTCCCCTGCTCATGGGCTCTCTCTCTCTCACTCCTTCTCTTTCTCTCTCTCCCTCTCAAATAAATAAATAAATAAATAAATAAATAAATAAATAAATAAATAAATAAATAAATAAATAAATAAATAAATAAATAAAATAAAATCTTAAATATATAAGTATGTCTTATATATTTATAATCTTAAATATATATGCCAGTCTCTAGGGATGGAGCTGAGCATCAGTGTTTTTAAAACTCCCCAGGGCGTCCTGCAGCCCACTTGAGAACCACTGCTGAGTGCATAGCAGAGCCACTGGGGAGCTTATTAAAAAGGCCTGCTCTGTAGACCCCACCCATGACCTAAGAATCAGAACTTTTGAAGTAGGCTCCAGGCATCTTTAGACTTAACAAGCTCCCAGCACTGGTGTCAGCTGTCACTACAATTGGAGAGCTCCAGGTATGGATGGTTTCTCAGGGCTCTTTTCACCTTGACAACCTGTTTCCGTGTGCTGAGTTCTGGGTGGAGAACCAGCTATGACCTGTGTGGGCTAAGGACCACACAGGGAGAAGCCAGACGGACATCATCATTCAAGGAGACTGGCTCTTTCTGGAGCTCACCGAAGAACAAGCAAGAATGAATCTGCATCCTCCCTGCCTCCAGAAAGGACATGCTCCGCCCAGCAAGGCAGCTCAGGTACCCCCACCTTTGTGTCCCCAGTCCCAGTGCAGCCCAGGGCACAGAGCTGGTGTTCATATGTATTTATTGTTTGGATACATGAATACTTTGTCCCATTAAAAGAAATGTTGACCAGCACCCTACCAACACCTGCAGACAACTCTGCACCCATTGACAAAGCCTATGTTTGGGGAAGAGAAGGATCTGAATAGTTTTTGACACGTCTCAGGTGGTTCTAATGTGCAGCCTGAGTGAAATAGCTACCAGCATGGTTCTCAAAGTGTGGCCCAGTGGCCCCCTAGGGCAGCTGTTGAAGGCAGATGCTTGAAGGCCTGGACTCCAGAGCTGTGCCAGACCCACAGAATCAGACCATCTTGGGGAACGAAGGCCATATGGTGCAGTGGTTTGCAGTTCTGGCCCAGTCTACTTCACTGTCTGTGCTTCATTTTCCTCACCTGTGCAATGGGGCCCTCCTGGAATTGTCTGGAAGAAGAGATGGGGTAATGAGTAATAAGATGTCTGGCACAGAGGCAGTACTTGATACCTGTTAGCTGTTCTAGGAGAGAAACCCAGAGGCCACCTGTTCACTAAGCACACGTGGTTCTGATTCACACTGAAGTTGGAAACTCATCTTGCTGCACAACCCCCAGCAGTATTTCCCTAACTTCCTAAGAGCCAGAAGAGTGAGTGACCTCCTTCTCAGGTCTATGGGCTAGCCTGACCAGTGTCACACTCACAAAATGACTGGCTTTTGATGTTGCACGTTCAGGTGGATATTGTCTTCATCTCAATCAAATTTTCTAAAGCTGCTTTTAGTTGAATTTCTAACTTCATTTAAAGTCACCAGTTGACTTTAGACAAGTGAGCACCCCAGAATTGACATTATCATCATCTCAAATAGGCAGTATAAATATCTGCTACTAATTTTGTGTGGCCAGCTAGTTCTACAAGTTCAATTGACGCTCCAAGAAGAGGAGAGTCAGCCCAAGCCCACTGCATGACTTTGCCCTCCCCAGTGCAAGCTGATCCACAAACCCAAGCATCCAGATACCTCCAGTTTTAGACACTTGGCTCTAGAAGAAAGCTCAACAAAACTAACAAAACTGCCTGATGGGATGAGTCAAACTAAGGGGCTTCCTGTCTTTGAACAAAAACAGCCAGAAAGGACAGGACTTCTCAAAGTCGCCCTTAAAATTCCCTTCTGCAGGGGTGCCTGGGGGAGCTCAGTCAGTTAAGCATCTGACTCTTGATCTCGACTCAGGTCATGATCTCAGTCAGGGTCATGAGATTGAGCCCCGAGTCAGGCTCCACACTCAGTTTGGAGTCTGCTTGTCCTTCTCCCTCTGCCCCTTCCCACTTCACAAGTTTTTTCTCTCTCTCAAATAAAAGAATAAATAAAATCTTTTTAAAAAAACTTCCCTTCTGCACCGCTCCTTGGATTCCTGGGTGGGAACCTTTAATCCCTCAGTCTCTCAATCTGCCTGACCCCTTGTCCTTACTTACCCTATCCCACCTCCCAGTTCTGAGCCCCACCCGAAGCACACACTGCCCTGGGCCCCTCCTGGATCCCCAGAGTTACCCAGAGTTGTGCCTGAATAGAGTCAGAGCTGCCTCCTGTCTTTGCTAGATGTGTCTTGGGATCCCACCATCCCAATCACATGTATGAGCTTCTCTGTCCTTGAGTGGTGGTTTTCCAATTGCCTCTAAGTAGGCACATGGCATGTGAATATGAATCACAGGGTGGAAGGTAGTGGAAAGGGGGAGATGAGCTCCCCCTTCACATTGTCTGCAGAGGTGGGGCGATGCGCCAGGTGATATAGCACCCCCAGGAGGTAGTATGTCTCTTTCCACTATATCTTAATCCATCCTTCCCTCCCCTGAACCCTGCATTCTTCCTCCTTTTGCCAAGTCTGCAGAGTGAAGACACACACAGGAGCAACGGGAAGTGGGTAGACCGAAAGGTGTATCTCCAGTGGACAAAGTTTGGTCCACTGGGCTGGCAGGGGCAGAGTGCAGGCAGTGTTTTTTCTCTAGGCATCCCTGGCCGCTCCTCCTTCCTCTCTGGGCAGGTAGAGGTGACACCCTTGTAGAAGCATAAGGCTCCCTGAATGTTGTCAGGCTGGGGCCAGGGCTCCAAAGTCTTCTTTTGTGATGGCCACATCCATCCTACCTCCTGGAATGCCCCAGCACCCCACGCTGAGTTTCAGAGTCCTCCTCTCTCTTGTAGTTCTGGAAAACCAGCACAAGGCCCTTTTGTTTTAAGTTCTTATTGCGGATGCTCTTGAGTGGCACGCTAGTTACCTACCCAGACAAAGCCTGGCTTTGGTTGGGGACTCTCTCAGAGCCAGACCTCCCTCTTTTACACTCAGGTAGAGTCCCGTGAGGTGCCTTCTCACCCCCTAGCTTTCAAGGAGCCCCACCACTAAGACCCATGCTGCTAGCATGCAAGCTGGGAGAGGCCCTCTTTGTCACACCAGGAGCCTCTGTGGTACCTACTCAGCCTCATTCGTCCCTCTGCGGTCTCCATCTCCAAGATCCCCCAGCCCGCCCAGAAATGATCTGCCCACAGGAGCTCCACAGAAACCCCTGTCCCCTCCAACCGCACCTGCTCCACGCACTGAGCATGCTAAGCCCTGAAACTCTCCTCTCAAAACAACAGTGTATCGCTCTCTCCTAGTAGTTCTTTGGCCCTGCAAACACCCCTTCAAAGAGGAACACTCTTAGTCACCCTCATGCACCTGATGCTTATCGGATCACTTTCCTCAAAGGCTCAAAAGCGCCAGCCGCGGGAGCCGGGCGGTGCCGGGAGTGGCTGCTGGAATGGAGGACCGGGGTGACCAGGACCGAAGTCCCCATTGGCACCATTTCCCCGGGGCAGCCTGTTCTGCCTGGCAAGCCACGCGTTGCGTCCTGCACAGGAGGTATTGAAAACCCTGGCCCACTCTGTGAGTCCGGTG